AGTTGGACAAGCTCAATCAAGCTCTTGTTCTGCGGGCAGACATATGGAGACCCATCAGCACACAGCTGTGGCGGTCATATTGAATTTGCTGAAGACACATGAAAACACCTGGAGTCAACATCATGCTGTGGTAGATCTAGAACTAAGAAGCGAGAATTACCGACGTCGTAGAAGCTTGGGGCATACTTACTGGAACACCCGCAAATGGTCATCACATACCTATGTCGATGTCTTCTTTGAGAAGCTGTGAAGAGTGCCCAAAGATACGCTGGTCTCGGCAGCAGAGAGGTGTGGGACATCTGACATCAGTTATTCCTGATCGTGATGATGATGATGCTGTTGTTGTTGTTGCTGTTGACCATGATGATGCTCATCATGATCAGTGACCCTATCATGACGATAATGATGGTGGGGACGATGATGACGATGATGACGATGATGACGATGATGACGATGACGATGATAATGGAGATCGTCACGAGAGAAGGGCTGATGGCGTTGGCAGATTCAACCCCGTCATCTTGTGATGCAGATCGTCAGAACATCAGCATATGAGTCTAATGCAGCGACAACGCTCTGTGAAGAATACCCAGAACCTTTCTAACTAGACCAGATATAACCTGACAATAATTCGCCACATGTATCACTTATATCCCGACGAGACCAACAACATGTACATCTCATGTAATCTCACAATACTGGGAAGTATAAGTATGCGTTGCAAGTTGAGATGACCGCAGCTGCCAACAATCTAGATGAACGCCCAAACGACTCTCTTCAAACTAGTTTGTGAGTAGTCGAGCCTGACATCTTGTCAGTCTTGATATAGCACGGTGTTAGTGACTCCAATCTGAACATCTAGCGGTTCTACTTCCTTGTGAGCTCTCGAGATCACCCAGAATCCTGGGAGAATCCTCTACGATCCAGAGGAGCCACTCCGGTAGTGGCTCACAAACCCTAAGAAAACTTCGAAAGTTTTGTAGTGGACCGGGCAAGCACCTACTTCGCTATTTGATTGTCCAAATGGGACTGAGGGTGAAACAAGACTCGGAGCTCAATCTGCCAGAGGGCGCGATACGATCGTCGTTAAGAAGAAACAGAACGCCCAGGCGGTATAGGTCACTCCGGCGTGGGCGTAGGCAGCGAGTTGTCCTGATGAGACGGAGCAGTCCTGCATTCGCTGTTTGCAGGTTATATGATGCTCGTAGACATGGAAGATCCACAGATTCTTTGCAATACAGACGGAAACAGACCGTCAAAGTGGAGAATCTGGTTCATGGGAAGAGTCCAGATAGGATGGGAGGGGGACAAATACTAGATATCTGAAAGCTCCTAGATCCATGAAGCTTCTGATCCTGATCTTGAACCAACACCTTGGCAGTATAGTAGTGAAGTTCCAGGATGTGAAATTTGACCAAGACAATCTGGCTGTATGCGCAACATGGAAGCAAGGCAAAGTGATGTCTTTAAGAAATATCTTCGCTTTGCCTTGTTCGGCTTACAGGCCATATCGTGACGGGTCCAGAGTTACAGTACTGGATGATGCATGCAGGCTTGATGACGGGAGCTATAGGTGTTGTATAGACCAGGTGATGTATGTGTCCATACGTTTCTCCAGACACCTGCCGTTCGAGATCACACCAGATGGTCCAAAGTCAACGACGAAGAGTAGCAGAGGGATGGAATCTTTGCATTAATGTGATACAGATCGCTTGATATCCTAAACATCCGTAAGAAGGGTCTGTGCCAGCGTGTGCCAATTCATTGATAGCACAATATTCCGTACATCACTTCTCGTTTGCAAAAATATGTGTTTACACCGCAGTGCAATCTACACACTGACCCGAATACTCTGACATCTCGCGACTCAAGTTTCCAGGTGAGGTTGAAGATGCGACAACGATCAAATCAAAAGAAAAAAGGAAGAGTCAATAAAGGCTTGGAGAGACACTTCGGTGCTTGTCTGTTACGAGACAATCGAATCTGTTGGCAAGCCTATAGCCAGATAGAACGCGCCGTTATTTGACAAATATGCGATCACCAGCTTCGTTCCCTGTGACGGGATAATATGCTGAGACGGTGTGATTAGCTTCTGCGAAGTTTGTGCTGCTGTCAGTTCGACATCTCGTTGTGCCTTATAAGCTTGACCATGAAGCATCGTTGAGATGTCTGTACCCTGGACTGCCTCACCTGTCTACAGGCGTGATGGTGACCACAGCTCTGACTTGCTTAGAGAGCATATGCAATGCCTGCAGTGAACTGTACGAACTTTCCTGCTTGGAAGATCTCAGCGCGCGTGATCAAGCGGATCTGAGATCGAGTATAGAGCTAATAGGACCCATCGGTGAACGGCCGTTTGTGAAGAATGGCCCGCTTGTGCTTGGTCTAACATTGTTACTGTGTGAGATGTTGCGAGACATGAGACAAGGTACGGCAGCATGTTGCACAACCTCTTACTATGGGACTGACACAAGTCATGCAGATTGGTTCCAGTGGAGAGACCACACGGATGCAGAGATACAGAATGAAAGGTCGCAGCCGTCAACGATCGACGAGATAGGGGAGTTCTGTAAGAACATCCTTGACTTGTCGAATGATACAACTTCATCTTACCATTCATTCGACGAGCAGCAGCATCTAAATAACTCCCCTCCACAGTTGGACGACTGTTAGCAGACGACAAGAAGATCTGCGCATGGATGGTCCAAACTGGAGCATCGTTTTGCTCATTAAGTATGTTTCAGAGCCGGACTTGAGCCTTACAGCAGAGCCTAAAGCGAAACAAACATTGAATCCCGCAACAGACAATGATCCGGAGCTATATTTCAGGACAGTAAGGTGGACGGGAAAGTTTGGGAAAGCCGCCAGGAATCGATACGACCGTATACGCTCTCCAGATTCGCAAGGGACTGGATAAAATGAGCGACTAGCGAGCTGTGCAGTGGCTTTAGACATACTCCGACCTAGGTTCACGGTCAAAGCGCAGTCACATAAGCTTCTGACAGCACGATAGTCTCACTTATATCCTACGAACTCGCTCGTTGTTGACGGGGCATGTTAAGATAGTGATGGCTGACAGTTTTTTTTTTCTCTTTCGGAGAGAATAAAGCTGGGCAAACATAAGAAAACTCGACACGGTAGCATGATAGCAGAAGCAGTCGAACATTCCCGATAGATGTGGCACGCTTTCCAAGAATTTTCAGATAACATGGTCAAAACTCCCGGCCCGTGACTTGCTATGCGTCATCAAACCGTTGTATGGCCTGCCTCTTGACCTGCCTAAACTTCTCCTCGCCCATACTCTGCTTCACCTCGAAAAGGGGTCTAGGAAAGTTGCTGAGAAAAGAAGCCAGATGTTCGCTTATACCTCGATCCGACAATTCTATCATTCCTTTCTCAATGCGTTCGCATAGAATCATGTTCTAGGACACGATAGCGTCGGTCAGCAACAGGTTGACTGTTAGTCACGGCAGCTGAAGACATACTTACGTATATGATTAGAACCTCATCACGATTTTCTAGCGCTTCGCGGACTTGTGAGATCATATCGCGGTCCTGTTCAGTCTCCACCTCGCGTGTATCTCCACATATGTATCGATCGAGTGACGGCTTCCACGAAGATTCTGCAAGAATGTCCCTGGGTCTGTTGGGACGAAGCATTGTCAAAGTATGTGTGGTTCTCTATCGGTGAGTGGAAATGAGACTTCGATACTTTTATGTGCAAATTCGCCGGTATAGATCCTTCGCATACTAGGTCCTCAGACAAAGACCACGGTGCCTTGTGAAATTTTGTCACATCACGATCATGAACTGTGATGTCAGCATTGTCACAAGACATTTTGTGGCAAGGTTTCAAACTGCACCAGAATCACGCGGAGCCATTCTTTACTTTGCTCGTACACCACATTGTACGTTATTACAGTTA